TAAAGTTTAATATATTAACTATATCATTTTCTGTAGTTCGGCTTTTTGGAAAGTTTGGTTCAAATGATCATCAGAAATAGTTCATTTTTGTACAATATAATTCCTAACCCTGTATTGTATATATATTCTAATATATATATATGATAGAACCAAGTAGATCAAGATTATATTGAAGAAGCATGAAAGGATAACTATGAAGTTTCTAAAATTCTTCTGGAGGAAATTCTTTCAACAATTGAACAAACAAAAATTGTAGAAATTTGGCGGTTGGCAATTTCTAGTAACTTAAAATTTTATTACATTATTTTAATATCTGATGGCTCTCATAGATGTATGTGCAATCTTTTAGTTACATACAGATATTTCTGTAGACATTTCTATAAAATTTTACAGTATTTAACAAGGGCTCAATGACACATAAGGCTTATCTCTGAGTGATGGTATAAAGATGATAAAATTAAAAATCTTGACCAGGTTCTTATGCAACAATCAACAATTAGAATCTGCCAAGATTCATCCAAAGCTGCCAATACATCAGACTTTAATTTGTCAACTACGTAGTAATGAGATTTATACATCTAGACTTTAACAAATCAACTCTAATTGGATGAAGTATGAATGGGCTTAAGGTATAATGCATAAAATGATCGACTAGCATTGGATATCGATTCTTATGAAGAAATGATTGAAATTTGTCAAGAATTTATGCTTAATAAACAGCAAATATTGAATAAATATGATCATGAAGAGCAGGGTAATTTGAATCTAAATGTACAGAATTCCATAATCACAGCAAGAAAGGGCAAGCCAGCAGAATGATTCAAAAGTTCTCTGGAAATTCAAAACAAAAAATTAAATTGAACTGGTGCATTACAATTAGTTGATATTAATCTTAATAATAACAATAATATCTCAGAACCAAATATCACAACTAAGGATAATAGAAAGACATATAGGAATTGTGGACACAAAGGCCATAATCACGCAACTTGTAAAGAAAACATTAATGTTGATTAGGGAAGTCTGTTAATTTGAAAATGTATCATGACATTTTTAACATATTTAATCGAATATTCTTTTGTTCTTATATTGTATGACTTTGAATAATGATTTGTTTAAAATCTATATTGACTTTAATAGCAAATTCATGTAATATTCTAGATTGTATGTATTTTATATTCTAAATATTGTTGTAAATTTGTGATATTGTATCAAATTTTATCATTAGGAATTTATAGTATATGATTTCAATATATAATTATTAAGCATCAGATTGAATCATTTGATTTATATTTCATCATAGCTTTAATCATATTATCCATTGAAGGTTAGGGTTAGTGTGAACAATACGAAAGCCTTGTTTACTGAGCTATAGTAAAAAAAAATGCTAGAGCAGAGGCAATAGCCATAGCAGAAACATCAACTATCCTTTGTGAAGCAAAGAATAACAAATTGATACTTTTCATAAATCCACAAATAATGTTATCTATCGAAGGTTAGAATTAGGATAAAACAATGCGAAAGTCTTGTTTTCTTAGCTATAATAAAAGAAAATGCTAGAGCATAGGCAACAGCTGTAGTGAAAGCATTAACTATCCTTTGCTTCACAAAGGATAACACATTCGAGTGATGCAAATCGAGTCAAATCGTCGAACAAATCGTGCAGCCTACTGGCCTGGTTGATCCAGCCCTGGCACTTTTCTTGAATCCACAAATATGTTAATCTAAGGTTATGTTTAAAGATTGGAGAGTTTAGCATTAACAGATTTCAAAATCAGGGTTATGTTAATGATTTCAGAATTTTAAAAGTCAATATTACACTATATAGTACTTTGCAAAATCAAATATTTGATTTAAATTCAAAATTTGATTTGATCTTGCAAAGTACTACACTGATATACATTTACTAATTTGTGTCTTTATTTTGAAGGTTTACGATTTGGAAAGATATAATTTATTAGGAGCTTTCATTCTACTCTCTTATTTTGGGCACTAAAGCTAAGCATTACATTGGTATTTTATATGGTTCAAATATTACCTATTAATTCCTCTCATATCTTCTGCAATTCTCAAACCTGATTGTAATTTGAACTTTAGTATTATTATCTAAAACTACTTTTATGTATATTTAATATCTCTAATGAAAACCTTATTTTTTGGTACTTTCAACTTATTTTCAGTTTGGTGTTCAATTTGGGTGCGCATGTACTGTACATACATACATATTTGGTACAGCAGTATCACTATCAAATTTTCTCTTTCATGTGATGATCATTCAATAGTGAGTTCGTTTTAATGTAATATTACATGATCAAGAAGATTAAAACCAAATGTTTGCTTTTCAAAAATCGCTTATTTCTCAAAAACCTGCATAAGAAATCATCTTTGGTGCTCTAACAAAAAAAATTTCTCGAGTAATTTTACTATTACCCTCCTAAAACCTAGCTATATTATAAATGCTAACCCTAACTTAAATGAATTTAAAGATTTTAAATGCTGTTACGTGAAAGTGAAAATTTTGATGATGATACTGGAGAAGATCATAAATTACATTATATATTGTTAGTTTATTGTTATAGTTGTATTTATTATATATTTTGATATTTATTTTATATTAAGGAGAGAAAATCACATCTGGTTAAAAATAGCAATTCTCTTATTAGTAATATATTTTAATTTATTGCATAAAAATTTATTATAATATTTAAGTTATAAAAAATAATTTATATATATTTTATCTGTAAAATATCAAAATAAAATTATATATTTTAATTAAAAAAAAAGATAGAGATTTGCTATTTATTATCACTAGTGATCATTATTAGTATATAATATAAAATAAAATTTTACTAACAAAGCTACTTTAGAGTTCTAATAAAAAAAATTCTCTGTAAAATTCTGAATATAACACTTTTTTTTTCTAACTTAAGTTTTTAAACCTTATTCTAAATATTAAAAAAAAATAAGTTTTGTTTTGATAAAAATTTAAATTTAAATATTGTAAATCACTGATAATAATCATCAGTAGTGAAATGTAATAATTTTCAAAAAGAAATATAGATAAACAAAAATATTTATTTTTAACACATAATTAACTTAATTTTATACTAAGATAATATATTTTTGTTTTTTAAATAAAATTAATTAATATATAATATTATATATAATTATTATTTTAAAATAAAAAAATATTTATTTTTAAAAGGAATGTGATAATCTAGTAAAATGGACAGGTTGTCAACCCCCAAGTGGCAGATCTAGTGTTCAAATCCCATAAACAATAAAATTTAAATAATTATATCTGTGTTATAGTAACTGTATCTCATCGACCAGTTAGACAAAAAAAAAAAATCTGTAATCTTAGATATACTATCTCAAATAGAAACTTGGAGCATCTATGCAAAATGTAATATTACACATATATAGAGAAATGTTAAATAATTGGTATTGCATAAGACTTCAGTACAAATCTATGATAAGACCATTGAGTGCATAACTCTAAGAAACCAGAATATAGAAATCCATTTAGAAATTTTAAGTAAAAAGATAATATGAACTTTTAACAATACTACCAGACCATTGGAAACTTCAGAAGAAATAACTATAATAGAATGAATGATAATATGTATAGAGTAGCACATACCAACCAAACAGCCAAAAATTATCAGAAGAAAAGAATCTTAGGATACCATACTAGGTTATCTGAATTGGTAGTCTGGAAAATCTTATAAGTTCAGAATAAGAAGAAGATATTAGAAAAAAAAGGTATTAGAATTCTAATGAACTTTACAAGAGTATAATGATTTAATGGTTAACCCTGACTGCAAGTAATGGTCTAGACCAGAGTGGTACTATATCAGCTGTAAATATGAGATATAGAAGACTTCAGTGAATTTAGTATAAAGTTAAACATGACTTAGTGACCATGGTATATTTGCAATAACCCTGCAATTAATAGAATAGAGGTGGATACAGGAACTAGAGTGTTTAAATAGGAAGTTCTAGGTATGGTAACTAGTGTAAAACCTTCAAGCAGACTACTTAAAATAGACAATGACTAAAGTTATATAAGTAACTAATTGTACACTCTTTTCATGATTACCTCTGTGGCTGTTGTACACAATAGTTATATGCCAACTAAACTCCTGGATTGCAACTACTCACCTTAATATTAAAAAAAAAAAAAATTATTATTTTTAAAATAAACAAAATTTATAAAATTTTAATTTAATTTTTAAACTAATTTTTTTTTTGTTTTATATAATTACAAAATTAAACTTTAAGTTTCTTAGTTAAGTTAAAAAAGATCTTTAGCTCAAAGTTTATAGTAAATTTATAAGTTTTTACTATAATATTGTTATAACCAACATTCTAAAAGAGATGTCCTATGCTTGCTAATAAAACTTCTAGTGATTTTGAACAAATTAGGTAATCCTGACCCTGCCAATCATAATTCTAAGGTATTTCGACCCGGAATTTTAGTGACCTCACTGTATAAATTTTACATTATAACAGTTAAACCTGTCTAAATATATACTAATATACTATAAGTAAATAAATTTATACAAAATTTTAAAATATATATAATTTCAATTTTATTAATAAAAGGTTCGTACGTAAAAGTTATGCTATTTAAATATTTTAAACTTTATATACATAATTGTTATACAAAATTTTATAATTTGATTGGTTAAATTATAAACCATATATAATTTAATTTTTTGTAAATATAAAATTGATATTTAGACCAGTTTGACCATATATTAAATTTGCATCAAAATTAAATTAACAATTTATATAATATTATATAAGTAAAGCAAAGAAAAAAAACAGCCTTTAAATTTATTTATTATATACATTTTAATCCAACGAATAAATGATACTGGCTTGACATATTTCAGAATCGAATTTCATTATGATATTAAGGCGTATTTATAAAAACCTGAAACTTGAAAATTTTAACTACTAAATATAATGCTGATCCTTAACTGTGCTAAGCAATATTCTTTTATCATCATATTCTTTTTTATTCATTATAAAATTTGCACCAAAGATTTCTTTGTTAGCTTCAACAGCAAGCCATATACTGTTCTATTCGCAATTGTAACCGAGAATTCACGGTTAACTTATCTCTATATTTTTTTTATTTCTTCAGTATTTTATAATCTGGAGACTGAGACTTTTGTTTAGTAGTGTTTAGTAGTATAAACGATGAATTAGTGAAAACGCATAGCTCGATAGGATTTATTCTTTAAATTAAAGACAGAATTGCTCAATTAGTTATGAATTAAATTTACCGAGTCAGGTTTTCGTTTTCCAAGAACAGTATTTGATGTTGCATCACCACCTGACTGTGCATTTTCTTGATTCTAAAGCAAATGACTCATATTAGTATGGTTACGATAGTCGCTTATATAAATTCATGAAAATTCTCAACAAACCTTTAGAGCATCAGCATGGCAAGTTGCGTGATAAATAACACCATCAACTTCTATAGCATTTCTAAACAACCATTCTTCATCCGCATCATTCCAGAAAACTTGAAATTTTTCTTGACAAATAGTACAAGGCCTACCAGCCCTTTCGGGATCAAACGGAACAATAACAGTAGATTCCTTGACTATCTCGTCCTTTTTTGGTTGTGATGCACCAACCGTGCTTTTAGCAGTGTTCGCATTTTCAAAGTCAAAGAAAGCTGGGGATTGTGTGTTTTTCATTTCTGCTTCACGTGAGTGAATCCAGTCCTTGATAAGATTAAATTTATAGAATTGCTCCTTAAAAGATTTTCCAATGCTCAAAAAGATTATTATGAAATTTTGAAAGCATGATATATTTACCGACCTCTTCACTAACAAACCAGCTTCGACTCTGTGCTTTCTTGGCCTTCTCTTTCATTCTACGGTTTTGGCGAAAATGCCAATCAAGATGTGCATCCATTTTTGCTTTACCCCCTTCATCCCTAGCATACCGAAAGCCGCATTGTTTGCATTGAAGAGGCAAAGCGTCATATAATATTG